CTGTGTACACTCTGCTGTGAGCTGTAGGGCAAGCATCATTTAACGGGAACGCGGTCCATGCATCATTCGCCCATCGACCAGAAAACCCAAACCAAATGGTGGTATCGCCCAGCAAAAACTTGTTTCGCGCCTCCCCACACCATTTTTGTGGCAACATGTATTTTGATGGCATTGAAGCCAAGCACATCAAACGGAAGCAACTGCTGAGGAGCGTCAAAGTGCACGTCATGGCGCTGGTTTTCCTTCACAAAGAACTGGTGGGGGGGCGAGAAACATGACGTTACGAATGGAGGGCTGAGATCTATCACGTCGCGCTCCAGGTATGCCTGCGTGCAGCGTTGATTACCTAGCGAAGGAGCGCACCACACGCTTTGGGACACTTGTTGACTTGTATACGTTACAATGACTTGCCTGGAGCACGATGGGGACTCGACCCGAACGTAGCCCTTCTTTGCAGTCCACTCCGCCCCTCGTTTGGATCTGGGGGTACACTGCCGGGTGATTCCTCCCAGGTCTCGTTTCTTTGTGACGGTCGCGAGATATCCCCGAACGCGATCCTACAAAACGGAGAGTTGGCACTTTGACAGGTCAAAAGGCGAGCCTTGGCACTCGACAGTCTCCATGCAACATGGCGTCCACTTTCACGTTGTCCCACGTAAGCCCAACATCACAGCTGCAATTGGCCTGACAAAGCGCAGCAGCTACAACGAGCCCCGTGTTCTGATGCCGTGGGGTCGTTCACGTCGGCGTTTGGGTCCGCTGCGGAATGGAGTGGCATTCGAAATCGAACGGCGGGAAAGAGAGATGGACGGTAGGAGAGAGAGAGAGAGGCTGGAGGACTGCCCGTGCTCTGCACACACCTATTTGTTGAACGTTGGCGCGCGCCGACTGGATTTCGGCAATGGACTCGTTTCTTTGCGACGGGCAATGGAGGTTTGGGGCGAGATGCGGACGACGTCGGTGACTTCGACAGGACCACACGCCGAGATAGGTTGAATTGCGTAACGTAGCGTGGGGGGATGACAGAGCTGGTCGCACTTCCCCGTCCGCGCCAGTCAAGTCAACTGAGTCAGCAAAAGCTCTGCCTTCCCCTTTGATGGGGGAATGAGATGAATGTAGTTGTTTGTCGTGCCACGTCAGTTGATGCAAACTATTCCCGTTGTCGAACGGTGGATGGTGCTCCAGATAGCATTCACCACAGGAATCATGCTGGTGCATGCGCAATAGATGTGACCAGAGATCGTGGGCGTATGAGGCTGACGAGGTAGCTGGGAGCGGCTGAGGTGCTACACCGCACAAAACCCGGTTAAACCAACTTTTTCACGATGAAGAAGTAGATGCGGGCTATCGTTAGCTTCAGACTGCGTGCGGTGACACTGGCCCAGTCCTCCCTTTCCTATCATCTGCAACGTACAACATACCGTGGGGTCATGGCTATTCATGGCAGAACTGTGCCACAATCAAGGGCTCTCTCGGACCTTGCCACCAAGGGGGCGAGAGTTGAACTTGCTTATGGCCCAGAAAGCTGTGCCTGGAGCTTGAATGCACCAAAACGGCTCTGCGGTTTGGCCATAGCCCACGGAGGGTGGGAACAATGCTGGCAAACACACCCGACTTGTGTTTAGACATCTCGGCAAGCGATTCCCTCGAAGCAAGGTGCATTCGATCAGGGCCAGCATCATTTGACATTGATGGCTCCACGGCAAAGCATGCACGGATTCAACACAGCCAAACACAGGAATTCGAACGTGAATCGCCTCCACGTCAAACAAGAGCACGCCGATGAACAAGGGCAACCTTGTTGGCAACAATTCGCACCATCGCACGGTCGTAAGCCCCCACCCCCTCCGATATAATTGCGATACATGCCATGAAGCCGACGGCCTTCCCCCAAACTACACGTCGCTGCGCACCCCCCCGGAACTACTGGGCTGGCCCCTTGGAACACGAGTGATCCGACACTTTGTCAGGCAGCGAAAGTGCAGAATGTTGGTCTGGTCGAGTGACCCAAGTGAATCCGCGTTTTTATTGCCACAATGTATGGATTTGACCATGGCCAGGTGTAGTTGGACGTTTGCACCTCGGTTGATCGACTTGTTTTGACGAAGTTGGGTGACGACGATTCCATGCACGACGTCCACAACTCGTTCGACCCTGCTACGATGCTCCAAGTCAAACACATCACGGAAGTGACGGATGCGAACCGCGAATTGCTCCTTCGCGCTGAACCTGTCCACCGCGAGCTGCGCCCCCAGCTCGACGCAGCATATTTGGACCAACTAGCCGGAATCTTTCAAGACCACGGCGAGCTCGTGGTGGCCATGGACGCCAACAATGCGGTCGTCGGGATCGCGCTCTTTCATGTGTATCGCGATACATTCAGCGGGCGCAAGCTGTACGTGGACGACTTGGTCACGACGTCGGCGAGGCGAAGCCAGGGCGTGGGCCGAACTCTCTTGACGTGGCTCAAGCAGGAAGCCGCGCGACGGCACACGACGCACGTGATCTTGGATTCGGGCGTCCAGCGCTCAAATGCCCATCGCTTTTATTTTCGAGAAGGCCTGACCATCGTTGGATTTCACTTTTCGACCCCCACCGACGACTCTGAATAGACACGGTTCGACATGTCTTGAAACAGTGCAACCGTGTTCGAATAGACGATCGTGGACGACTCTCTGCGCGGGATGCCATCGCAGCACCCATCCATTTTCATCCTCACTGTTCTCGATATGCATGTAATGGACCAAACACCTTCCCAACACAACAGCGAACGCCGCGACGGTCGAGTGCGACATGGCTCGTTCTACGCCGACGGGTCGCGCTGGACTTGCCGCGATTTGTGACTACAGTACGGCGCCCCATTATTCAATTTTACGCAATTTCGCTGATTGCTACGTCGCCCTGAGATTGGGATGGGCCGGGCCCCGTTCGTCCCGCCGGCAGGCTGCGCATGTTGGGATGCGCCAAGATCGAACGGGGGGGCGACGTGCCCACTTTTCGCCGACAAGGGAGGTCGCTTTGAGTCGCTTTTCTGTGTCCAAATGATATCGGGCGAATACGAGCCTGCGCACCTTTCCCAAGTCCAGAGGACTGTCACACGTAGTGTACACCCGTCCAGTGGAAACCAGGTTTTGCGGAAGGATGACATTCGAATTCGAAGCCATGTACGCGTGATTCGCGAGGCCGAGAGGAGGGGAGGGGACGAGCAATACCACCTTGTCGTCTGTGGTCTGTGCGCTCCATCGCAGCACGTTTCCCTCGACTCCCACGCGCGACCATCGGCAAAGCCCAGCCTACGCCATGCACGGTTGCAAGGTCGACAACGAAACGACCCACGCATTCGTTTTGATGTGCGTCGAATGCTCCCAGATCTGTACGCCATCGCATGCGACGCCCTCACGACACACACCAAACATAAACGCGTGAACATCTCGATCGATCGGTTTTCTATGCACCACATTCCAGAGTGTCCGAGGAAACTCGGGCAGATAGCATTTTGCCAGATGATGCCGACTTCGGTCCCCCCACGTGTGGCAAGTCCAAAATTCTCGATCCGGTACCTTCTGCACGGCCCGATCCCTATCGCATACCAGTCGCCGCCCGGGCAGTGGCTCTGTTCAAGATGCATGACGGCGGCGTCGCGGCAATCGACCAAGCGGTCGCTCTCCCCGAGGATACGAACATGCAAAGTGGATGGCTGTGGCAATGTCGCGGTCAGTCGAAAGCTGTGCATCAGCCACGGGGTACGCCATGGCTATCGAGGCACCATTCTAACACGTATCCATAAAGGGAGGGGCGCGATGTAAGGTGGACACTTGTCCGAACGGCGCCAAGCACGACGGCCTATGCTGGACGCACGGAGGCTCTCGGGCATGCACTGTCCACGGCTGCTCGAATCGCACCAAAGCGCGAGGGCTCTGCTGGAGCCACGGTGGTGGGAAGCCGTGTAACTCGCCCACATGCACCAAAACGGCCCTTCGACATGGACGCTGCTGGGCGCACGGCGGAGGTATACTACATGCCACCCCTGCCTCGAACGACGGCTTTGAACGACATGTACAGGAAAACGATGTCTCCAACCGGGGTGCAATCGGCCAGGACTGCGTCGCCATCAAGACTTGTGCCAGCAGCATGCGGACGAGAACGTTTGCCAGTCGGTGCATTCCATGGCCCGTATCGGCCGTCCAGCGTAGCTGCCCCGGCGACTTGCCGCTTTGAGAGTGAACCAGACTCCATTTCTTTACCTCGTCTGCGAGCCCAAACAAGGCGCGCGGCGAAAATATGGCAAGTTGAAGGGCATTCTTCACCGCTGGTATCACCTGCCGTTCGAGCACTGCTCTGTGAAGAGCCGACGCGCCAACCAGCGCTGGAAAAGACAAGGTGTTGGAGGCTGGGAAGGATGCGCAAGAGATGAGAGATTGATCGTGCAAGAAATTTCTGGAGGATCGAATGGAAGGACCGATTCAATGTTGAACGGCCTCTTCGTCCTTGGCATCACAATGTCGGGATGCCACCCCCTCCATTGTGTTAAGTTGTGAATGAGGTTGCAAGCACGTGGGCTTGAAAGTACATGCCAGTTCAAGCGCAAGACGGGGGCCCCAGTCCCTCCGCTGACATGACGGCAGCTGCATCATCCGCACATGCACCTACTGAAAATCCCGCGACACAATGCCTAGAAATCCGACCTCTGCCATGATGTGCGGCGCATTCCCTTGCGTTATCTCGAGCCTTTGAAGCAGTGACACAGCAAGCGGGAACAGTGTATCCGCCTGGAAGCGCTGCGCTGGGTGAAGAGACATCAGACTCACTAGGTAAATGCTAATCATTGCTGCCTGGACGGTTGACAACGCGCTGCTTGGCCCATCACGGTATTGGGATGTTTCGGAAACTTTCCAAGCCAACATCGGTCATCCAGCCACCATCCATGACATCCTACATGGCGCTCTGCCGAACTGCATGATAATGCATGGCCCTTTCAATCGCTCTTGACGGCCATCGCGGCGTGCGGGAATGGATAGCGTGGCTGGTGCCGCTTCCCATGCGCTGGCGCGACTCAACGTTTGAACCTCTCCTTAGACAGATATTTGGTTTCAGAGGTTTTCCATGGGACTGCTCAACGGACAGCAAGCATCTCGAACGGGATCATGGCGTCAACAACGGTGTACTGGGAAGTCCTGGCAACGGCGAAGGAGGCGGCCCGACTTGCTGGAAAGCACATGCGGGCTCATTTGGGATCCGTGAGCGCGGCCGCCGCGTCGAAGAGCAACAAGGATGACTTGGTCACGGTGGTCGACAAGCAATGCCAGGAAATTATTGCCGCCCAGATCGCAGCCAAGCACCCGACGCACCGCATGCTGGGCGAAGAAGACGTGGATGCAGGAAGCGATGCGTCGAAAGCTGCCATTCAGTCGATGGACGGGACGCAGTGGCTGTGGGTGGTCGACCCAATCGACGGCACGACCAACTTCGTCCACACGCGTCCAGCCAGCGTCGTGTCGATCGCGGTCGCGTTGGAAGGGGTGGTCGTCGTTGGCGTGATATATGATCCGTATCGCGACGAGCTCTTCAGCGCACTGCGCGGCCATGGCGCGTATTTGAACGACGTTGCGATCCACGTTAGTCAAAACGAGCAGACGTTCTCGCAGGCGCTGGTGGGATTTGGAATTGGGACCAAACCCAGTGTTCGATTGCCCATGCTTGACGTGATTGCTTTGTTCTCACGCACATGCCGCGGGCTGCGTCTGCAAGGCGCCGCCGCGTTGGAGCTGGCCTGGACCAGCTGTGGCCGTCAAACGGTACAAACCTCGCTGCCTCTTGCTCACGTTTCATCGTAGTTCTTGTCGTAGGGCTTTTACGAGCTGGATTTGAACTCGTGGGACGTCGCTGCTGGCTCGTTGCTCGTGTCGGAAGCTGGGGGCCACGTCTCGGACTCGACGGGCGCTCCGTTCACTCTGCATACCCGTCACATTGTCGTCTCGAATGGACAGGGCACCATCCACCAAGATTTGTTGCGGTATTTGCATGCTTGTACGACTTTAAGTTCTTGCTGACATGCGGCTTCCCATCGTAGATGCATTGCCGATGCCAACGCAACACATCCACGCTAGAGCGTCGACAACGCCGCCATTAATTCACTCCAACTTCTTGCATCACAGGGTGGCTTTGGTTGCTCTAGGTGATGGATTTGCAAGCTCCCATGCATAGGATTGCTCGATTCGTTTCAACGACCTGTCGGCTTGCCGCAGCCGCTCTCGATGGATGGCCTGACATGGGACATTGACTGGACAGAACCGTCATCGCCAAAGACGTTCATTTCTTCTTGGCAGGTGTCGCTGGTGACCTCTTCACAGGGGAGCTTTTCGTCGATGGTTGGGTGGAGGATTTTCCGGGGCTCGCGCTGTTTGGTTGTGGTTTGGACTTGCCAGATGTTGCTCGGCCACTTGCGGCAGCTCCACGAGAAGGTGTGCCGGGCTTGGTTTTCTGGTTCGGCGTCGACGTTCTGTTGTTAGATGGTGGCCGCTTTGTGCTGTTGGCCTTGGTCGAGGTTTGGAGCTTTGCCTTGGCGTCCGCTGCAGCCTTCTTCTCGGCCAAAATCGCCAAGTGCTTGCCCCACTCTACGACCATGCGCTGCGAGAGCTCTTCCCGCATCATGGCACACCGTTCGTTCATCACGATGGTGGCTGCATCCCACTTGATGCCAATGCAAGAGTACATCGTATCCTGGTACGCATGCCACACAAGTGCTGTGTCGTGCACGATTTGGTCGACATGGAGCGGTGATGTGTTCATCGGAAGCCTGCGGTACAAGGCACACGAAGTTGCCAAGGCAGCAGTGGTGGTCGAGTCGGCGCCGCCCAAATCCAGCACCATTTTCACGTTCGCGCCGTGTTGAATGAGCCGGGTGACGTCGCCTGGTTGGATGCGGGGCCAGTTGTACACGAGCACACTTCCAGACGCTTGAATTGCCCAGGCAAGGCGCTCGTGGGCCATCGGGATTTCCCCCATTTCAGTGTCGCTGCCAGGGTCCGCACCGTTGTGGCTGACTTCGGGGGTACCGGCTGTATCGCCTCGCCACGCTTCCACGTCCAGGGACGAATACCCAAACTGCACACAGAGCCGATGGACCACAGACGAGATGTAAGCCCCGCCCCCAAGAAAAACAACCACCGGCAGGTCCATGCGCACGTCCCGCTTTCGTTTGGGCGGCATTACAATGGCTGGAAACGGTCTGTCATCGCGAGTTGAAAACTCAATGCTGTGTGGGCCCTTTGACGGCGTGTGCTGGAGCGACGAGGGACCGTCGACTGTGGGCGACGCAACTGCCGTCAAATACCGCAAAGCACGCCACGCAATCGAGGTTCGATCCGCGCTCTTGACGAAAGCTCCTTTGGCATCTTGGAATGCTGCCGCTTGCACATGCCCCATGCCCATCAAGTCGCACACCTGCAGAACGGATTCAACGCCACAACGGCTCGCTGTCAGCTAAAGGGATGGACACACGATTCAACAACGCAGTGTTACCATGTGTTGAAAGTCCATCGCGCGTCCACGTAAAATTCGTGCGTCGAAGGCGAGGCTGTCGGTATCGCGCATTCGCTTCCGGCACCGGCGCAGCTGAATTTTGGCACACAGCGCGTCCTTCGCAGCAGCGTCCCACTTCCGATGCATCTCGTCGATGGTTGTTTGCTGATGCTCGAGTTTTGTTTCGAGTGTATTGATTGTCGCATGGGCGTTGCGCAGCGCGGCTTCTGTGTCTGCTAGTCGCTGGCACTTGAATTGTAATGTGGTTGTCAGCGCCTGTTGAAGCATGAGATGGAGCGAGCTCGTGGCGATATTCGAATCATTCGAAACGACCTGGGTGAATGCGCACTCGCCACCATACAGCTGCATGATGAGCTCGTGCGCCGCTGCGTCTGCCGCGCCCACGCGGCTAAACTAGGAGCGGCAGAGATGAGGTCGCGCAGAACAGGACGACAAGGAGGGGGTGGGCATTACGTTTTCGACCATCGCGTCGTGCTTGCCCCGGAGCCGAGCACACCCGTCGACAAAAAGTTCGAGCTGTTCGCGAGTATGGGCCTCGAGCTTGAACAGGCGGGCGTTGTCCGCGCGCAAGTTTTGATTCTTCTCCAGAAGGAGGATTCGAAACTGGTCGTCGTTGGCCCGCAACTAAAGCACATGTGAGGTTTCCTGACGAACCGCATCATCTCGTTTACCTGCGTCAGGGTTTGCAAAAACCGCTTGATTTTATCGTAGCTGATGCTACCATGATGCAGCCCTCGCTCCGCCTCCTTGTACGCAGCCTCGAGCCGCATGAGCTCGTCACCCAGCGCAGCCATCTCTCGATCCAAAACGAAATCAAAAATGCGCTTTGATCCCGGGGGAGGCGCCGCGGCGGCGGTGGCATGATTCGGTCTCCGCGGCGACGTTGTATCAATAGGTAGAAACGCGTTGGTCAAGTTGGCGTTCTTTGCCAGGACAACAGCGTCCGTGGAGGGCGACCCCCCCGCGTCCAGCTCTTGCTTCCACGCCACAAATCGCCCTGAAGCATGTTAGCCCCATGCCACAGTCGAAGCAAAAGCACATCCCGTCCGACGTACCAAGTGCTGTGTCGCGGTCTTTGACAACCAAGTCGACAACACTCCGCAACACGTCCGTCTTGGTCGGAAATATTGCCGAGTCCAATTGAAATGTATCGCACAAGTGGGCCAACATTGGGCCATCGGCATCCTGAAGCGATTCCGTCACAAATGTTCGCAGCGCATGCACGAACGACATCGTCCCGCGCCGCCGACTCGCCTCCAATTGACCGTTTCCCATGTAACGTGATCGACCAATGATCGGCCAAATTTTCAAATTTTTCCAACTGAAATATCTCAATTGGTTTTCATGGCACGTCAATGAAACCAGCATTTCCGGAAAGCTGACGGAAAGCTCTTTCGCGACATGTTCAAATTTATCGATTTAAACATAA